ATCCAGCCAAAAAGTTTTTTTTATCTTGTTTTGAGACTGATTTACTAAACAAGAACTGATTGTGTAAGAATAATCATCTTGTTTTCAGAAAGTGTAAGATTATTTGTCTTGTTGGTCTGAAAATTTGACTTAAATTAAGTGAAAATTTCTGCCAGTGGAGTCAGAAAATCTTACTTGTTAAGATTCTGGAAATACTTGATTTGATGCAAGTTTTTCTTATTTCAAGAATCTTACCAAGTAATATTTTCTTACTCCATTGGCAGAAAATTTTCACTTATTTTGAGTCAAATTTTCAGACTAACAAGACAAATAATCTTACACATTCTGAAAACAAGATTATTATTCTTACACAATCAGTTCTTGTTTAGTAAATCAGTCTTAAAAAAAGATCAAAAAGACCTTTTGGCGGGATATGAGGTTTTAAAACTTGGACGTTTTTGCAGTGGAACTCTCCCACTGGCGTTCCAGTTCAAATTTAAAACTTGTAAGTGGGAAATTTCCACTTCACAGTATAACTGAGCCACAGCAAAAGTAGGCGGTGACTATGCAGCTAAATGGCACTTTTACAAGGCAAATTTCCTAATGCAACTTTAAAGCTTTCGAGGGCCACATAAAATGCTGTGACTGGCCACATTTGGCCCACCGGCCTCAATTGGACACTGCTGTAATATTAAGGGCAAAGCATCAGTGGTCATAACATTGTGGCTAAATTCTATTACTTGGTACTGTCGTGAAGAAGTAAGCCCCCTCCTCCTGGCAATTCATCACCAAACACTCAAGCAGCCAAAGCTTTCATTAATAACTTTCTGTCTTTTTCAGCTGCTCTGGACTCATGGTTTTCTTGGCTGTGGGAATTACTGTTGTTGGACAAGCTTATTCTGGTGGCCCGACTGTGAAAGTCCCACAAGGAGAGCAGGTATGCAGCCTCTGGGGTGACAAAGCTTTTGTCCGTTTGCATTTTGGGGTTAAAAAATCACTTGGAACACATTCTGCTGGCTAGTTTTTGTTAGCAGAGTCCATCAAACACATCTGGTTTAACTCCCAATCAGGAACCAGCCTGTTTAGCCTAATTYATGAGGCTTTTCAAAGCTGCTCTTGACTGCTTCAATCTAGGATGCTCAAAATCTCCAAAAAGGTCACTGTTTTGACTTTAGTTGATACATCCTCAGAACATGCCTTGGTCAAAGCTCTATTCTGTATCTCTTTTTTTCTTTTTTGCAAGATCTTGCCTCTTAAATCTCTCACAAACACCACTTATCAGTATCCTGCAGTTGCACAGTGTTCACCTTCAAAACAAAAGCAATGTGGCCGGTGTGCGGCCCGGGAATTGCCCAAAAGCAAAAGGGCAACATTTTCCCACAGAAAGCCAGTGAGAATCGGGTTCTCAGATCTGATTAACTGATCCAAAACATTCAGCTTCATCAATCGACAGCATTTTTTTCTTCGCTTCTTTGTTGCGTGTCACGGCTTTCTTTCTGTCTTCCATCGTTTCTTTTTCCTTCTTCTATCAGAGGACAGTCAGGGAAGAAGTAGAGATGAAAGGAAATCATGAAAGCAAAACATTCAGATGAGGTCATACGTAACACCTAAATGGTTTTGACAAGAAATTAGAGAGAGAATACAAAGACAAAAAGTCTAGGATGATGTTTTCCCCCAAAATTCATGAGATTAAAGCTTGTAATCTTACCTGCAGAGTCAGCGTTGTGCACTCAATCATGGATGTTCTTTTGTTCTGTTGAGTAACATCCCATCCCATGGCGTATTAGGACCACTTTGCAGATAAAAAAGGAGGGGCAAATTTCTGCAAAAAACCCCTGAGATTAATTTCAGAACTTTTCAAGAAAAAACAAGGAAATTCTCTGAGAATCCAAAAGTCGTAAATTTGCGAGAAAAAATTTCAGAAATTTCCATAATGAAAGGCAAAAATTTCCAAGTTTTTTTCTTGTAAATTACTGACTTTACCGTGTCAGAAAATATTTTGTTTAAAAGTTGAAAAATTTTGCCTTTAATCATGGTAATTTCTGAGTTTTCTTCTTGGAAATTTATGACTTTTGTACATAAGAGAATTTCTTGTGTTTTTCTCGAAAATTTCAGAAATTAATCTCAGAAATTCCGAGTTTTTTCTCGCAGATTTACGACTTTTGGAACTCAGAGAATTTCCTTGTTTTTTCTTGATAATTTCTGAAAATAATCTCAAAATTTCTGATATTTTTGGCAGATATTTGCTCCTTTTAAGTGGCCCTAATACACTAATTATGAATTACAGCCGTGTTAGTTAAAATTAGTGCCTAACATGTTAAAAACATTGCTTGTATGCTGGAGCTGCTGCAGCTTTACCATAATTAGAAGGTTGCATTTATGTTTACATGACATGACTGCTCACCACTTTTCAAAGCGTATAATTAGAATAAATTACATTCATTCTACCTCCCAGAGAGCGCAAATGGCTGGCACAATTAATCAAGCTTAGCAAATACAAACAATTATAACTCTGTCAGTTTTAGAAATACTGACCTAAAATGTCCTATGGAAGTAACCGAGGACCACCTAAAACAATGAATGCAAACATATTACAAGATGGGGGTCTTGTGGCGTTATTAATTGCCTTTTTGAGTCACAGAAGCTTGTCGCCTGAATTTTGAACCTGTCCATTTTGACTTTGCCACCCAGAGCCTCACTCTTTATTTGTCTTTTCTTCTGTCTGTCAGAGCAGTCWGCAGTGCATCCTGCAGTAAGGTTCAACAGAGGGATAACAAACTGGATGGAGAAACTGTGGAGAGTCTGGAGTTTTTCATCRACKAGTGTTTTGAAAAAATAGTCATGGGCAAAACGAAACATACCTCCGGCAGCGCAGCTAGCATGTCAGTTAGCACGCCAACATCAAAGAGAATTGCTCGGCAAGCTCMGACGATATTTCAAATATTTCTCCAGAAACGACAGGCTTTRAGGACATACTGGAGTCTATCGATCAAAAGCTAAGCAGTTCAGATAGCCGGTTAGCTTTAGTGGAGGTGCTGCATAAGGAATTCCAGGCTCTGAAGGTATCACTGGAGTTTAGTCAGGAGCAAGTAGCTACGCTAGTTAGCGAGAACACCGAGTTGAAAGGAAAATTGTCTCAACTCACTGAGGGGATGTCACAGCTGTCTGGAGATAATAAGAAGATGAAGGAAACCATCTTAAACATCCAGGCCAGAAGCATGAGGGACAACCTCGTATTCTCCGGCATCCCCGAGAAAGCTAATGAGGACCGAGAGGCTACAGTCCGGAGCTTCATTCAGAACCAGCTGAAACTCTCCAGTGAGATGGAAAACAACATCACCTTTGGCCTTGTACATC